TTTCACTTTAGGCAACCAGAAGCTGCCAGTTGGCACTTTCAATCTTCTACTTGAAAATCTCCTTAGTTAGATCATTGAGTTCATTAAGTATATTCTCTATCTTCCTTGTTATTGAAGGTGACAGTGTTACCCAACATTTCTTCTTCAAGGGTCTCCTTTCCTCCAACTTCTTTTTATTTATTTATTTATTTTTGAGACAGAGTGTTGCTTTGTTGCCCAGGCTAGAGTGAGTGCCGTGGGCATCAGCCTAGCTCACAGCAACCTCAAACTCCTGGGCTCAAGCAATCCTGCTGCCTCAGCCTCCTGAGTAGCTGGGACTACAGGCATGGACCACCATGCCCGGCTAATTTTTTCTATATGTATTAGTTGTCCAATTAATTTCTTTCTATTTATAGTAGAGACAGGGTCTCGCTCTTGCTCAGGTTGATTTTGAACTCCTGACCTTGAGCAATCCTCCCGCCTCGGCCTCCCAGAGTGCTAGGATTACAGGTGTGAGCCACCACGCCTGGCCTCCTCCAACTTCTAATAACATCTTCCTTATTATTTTTTAAGCCTTGACAAAGGCTCTTTATGTCTCCACTAACTCTCTTTAAGGCCCTTTATGGTTTTACTAACAGTCTTTTCTTTTCCATCTTCTGTCCAAAGCTCAGTTCCAAAACCAATGTCATGTGGTTTAGGTTTTGTTTTGGCAGCACCATACTTCCAGGTATGAAAATCTGTTAATAGTTATCTATTGCTGTATAAGGAACGAACTCCAAACTTGGGGGATTAAAACACCAACTATCATTTATTTTGCTCATAAATTTGCAATTGGGGACTAGCTGAGAAGGCTTGACTGAGGACTGGAGGATTTATGTTAAAGATGGCTTACTCACAAGTCTGGCAAACTGGTGCTGGCTTTCAGTTGATAGCTCAGTGAGAGCTATGGGCCTTGGTTCCTCTCCATATAGGCTTCTCCACTGGCTGTTCGATTTTCTTCATGGCAAAGTGGCTAGGTTTAGAGTGAGCATCCCAAGAAAATGAGGTAGAAGTCTTACTACCTTTTATGATTTGACTTGGAAATCACAACACTTGACATCCACCAGTCACAGGCTTGCCCAGATTCAATGACTTCCATGTCTATGACAGATGAGTGTAAACGTCACGTTATGAAGAAAGCATTTGTGATGGGAGATATTTTGGCAATTTTTCTGAAAATGCAATCTGCCACACACATGCACAGTGTAAGAGAGCACTTGTTTCCCCACAGCTTTGCCAAGCGAGTATGTATGCTTGTGGAAAATACTAAACTTGTGGCAAATATCAAGATTGGTGATAAAATATCAGGCTTTCTCTACATTTAATTTAAATTTCCTCTTGTTATCAGTACAGATGAACATTTTTCCTGTGTTTAAGATCCATTTCATCTTTGCTGTAAATTGTCTTTTTATGTTGTTTGTACATTTTTCTACTGGACTCCCAATCTCTGATTTTGAGAAGTATTTTATATATTAGAAAGATCAACCCACTATAGTTAGAATGGCAAAATATTTTTCTCAATTGGACATGTCTTTTTACTTTATTTATACTTTTTTTTTGTCATGTAGACATTTTTGGTGTTTTTAATGAGTGCAACCCATCAATTTTTTCTTTCATGGCTATGGATATGGATCCTCAGTTGTAATTAAAAAGTCTTTCCTCAGTGAAAGTTACAAAAGGCTTCTTCCATTTTTTTCTTATATAATTTTTATGGCTTCATTTTTCACATTTAAATCTTTGAATCATTTGAAGACTATTCTGATGTAAAGTATGAGGTATACATTTCCAGATGGCTCCCCAGAAATCCCAACATCAATTACTGAATAAAGCATCTTTTACCACCAGTTTGAGATGCCACCTTTATCATTTACTCAATTCCTCATCTGTTCAACAAACATTTATTCAGTGCTTCCTACACATCAAGAAGGCTGCTTGGGATATGCTAGTGAACAAAAGAAACTAAAACTCTCTGCTTTATGAAGCTTACATTCTAGAGGGGAAAGCAGACAATAAACAGTAGATAACTGGGTAAATTATATAGTAAATCAGAAGATAAAATTAGAGTAGGGTAAGGGTTTGAGAATATGGGTGTGGGACAGTTGCAAATTTAAATAGGGTGATCAGGAAAGATGTCATTGCACAGGTGACATTTGAGAAAAATCTTAAAAATTAACAGTACAAAGGTCCTAAGGCAGGAGTGTGTGTGGTATATTCAAAGAATGAGGCCAGGGTGCTAGAATGGGTAAAAGGAAGAAAAGTAAATGATGAAGTCAGAGAGGTAGTGGCCAGATTCTGTAAGACTGTTTAGGCCATCATAAAGACTTTGGCTTTTAATTGGAGAGAAATGGGAACCACACACTTTGAGCAGAGGAGTGACATGATCTGATTTACCATCATTCTGCCATTTCCTGAGTTATATTCTTTGAAATCATCTTTTTTCTTTTGTTTTTCCCCTCTAGCTAATCTCTGCTGTTTCCAAAGCAAAGCTACCTATTTTCCTTCAACTACTAATTTTAGGCTATTTCTATTATTTAGAATACTACAATACCTTCCTAACTGGTTCTCTCTCTCTTCAATTCTTATGTCTTACAAATTCAGTTATTATATAGCACTAGGGTGATTTTTAAAGCAGAATCAGGTTGCTTATATTACTTTCCTGCTTAAATTCTCTCAAAGGTTTTCCACTGCACTCAGAGTAAAAGCCAAACATGTTTTCATTGCCACAGGCCTTGTGAATCTAAACCTGGCTCACTTCTCCAAGCTCACCTCAAGTTACTCTCTCCCTTCTTCCACTCCAACCACAGGGGCTTTCTTTTAATTTCTCAAATATACCCATGGTTTGTGCAGATGATGTTTAGTGCATGCCTAAAATGCTCTTTTCTTCTTACTTATTATAATCTCTACATAGCCTTCATTTCTCATCTTAAATTTTGTTTCCCCAGAGTTTTTCCCTGATTTCCTAATGTGTATTCATGCCACCTTATTCTTATTTTGTATAAAAAACATCTCATTTGAAAATTATTAGTATATTTGCCAAATGTCTGTCAGTTTGGGTTTAGGACTATGTCTCTTTTTCTCTATGATGTATAGCTGACGCTAAGCACAATTTCTGTCACATATTAGCTACTCAAAAAATATTTACGGAGTAAATGCATCTTCCTTCTTAACACAATAAATGGTTCTGGAAAATTAAAACTAACTCCTCTGGCTAGAATGTGGAGAAGCAGATATGCTGCCTTAGTTCTAGATGTCTTTCTATTCCTATCTTTGGGAAGTCTTACAATTAGTTAAGAATAAATAAGTTTATTCCTTAAAATCCAAAGATCCCAAAGCACTAATATACCAAACAAAAGCTCAGCTCCAGCTGTTAGTCTCCTCATTTTCCCTGCTTTTCCTCAAGTTTTATTTCCTGTCTGCAATGGGCCCTTTTTTCTCTAATCTCCAAATCCTACCTGCTGATATCAGCACAAATTCAAACTCTACCTTCTTTTTTTTTTTTTTTTTTGAGACAGAGTCTCACTCTGTTGCCCCGGCTAGAGTGCCGTGGCAGCCCTACGCCACAGCAACCTCAAACTCCTGGGCTCAGGTGATCCTACTGCCTCAGCCTCCTGAGTAGCTGGGACTACAGGCATGCGTCACCATGCCCGGCTAATTTTTTCTATATATTTTTAGTTGGCCAATTAATTTCTTTCTATTTTTAGTAGAGACAGGGTCTTGCTCTTGCTCAGGCTGGTTTTGAACTCCTGACCTTGAGTGATCCATCGGCCTCAGCCTCCCAGAGTGCTAGGATTACAGGCGTGAGCCACCGCACCCAGCCCTCAAACTCTACCTTCTTGATGAAATCTTCCCTTATCCCTATAGTCACAATTAGATTTTTCCTTCTCTGAGTACCTGTTGTATTTGTTGTCTTTTGTAGTCATAACAGGATCCAACATTAAGCATTTCTGAATATTAGTTGCATGATGGGGGCTGTTAAAAATCTCCTCCAATGAGTTTACTGGCTACCTGAGGGTAATGATTATCTCATACAATTAGAAGAGTAGATGTCCTCCTATCTTGAAGCAATTGAGACTGGGATCTGATGTGCTACGCAAAAGTGTTGGTTAAAGTAGAGATCCATAAAAGGTATCTTAAGAATTTTAATTTAAAACATAAATCTATATTCATTTTCTCATCTTTTGACATAAAGCTCAGCCTTTTCTATTAAAGTGATTTTAATGACTGAGTGCCCATACCTATAATGCATCAGTTTCTGCTTCATGAAGGTAGAACAAACAAGTGACAGTTGGACAATAATACATGTATAGGAATCCCCTGAGATTTTTATGATTTTTCTTCAGTGTTTTACAGTTTTGCTCACACCTAATTTGACAGTAATTTTTTAAAAAGTGGCTGGCATTTATCAAATCTTTTCAAAGCATTCAACTAGTTTTCATAGCAACAACTCCTTGCTGTACTCATATCTCATCAGTTTATATAATACTTAATCAAATTATAGAATTATAATAATAGGCTTAAACAGGTTTTAGAAGAGATATAACAGATTCTTGACAAACATTAATTTGTGATAGTAGGTGTCTTCAGGTATATTTAATAATTCCATTAGCTCCAAGCAGTAACAGTGGCCTGGGCCTCATTCACTATGTTTACAGGAGAATAGCAAGCATTGTTTAAATTTTAGTGAGCTGTTTAAGTGAAGAATGATTAAAAGATAGTCTACTATTTCTTTTGTTTTTGTCACATCTAGCACAGATATGAGTCCAGGAAAATAAGTCCAGTGAAAATGGTAGAAGGATATAAAAGCTATACAGAGGCAGGTATATAATGTGAATGGAAAACATTCTGTAGAGATTATTTCATCTGTCACAAGAATCACCTGGGCTTTGGAATTTTGGGACTCAGAACTTCTGAGAATGAAAAAATAAAAGTGCCCACATTCTGAGAACTACAATAGCATTTCAGAAGAGGAAAACTGAACTTACCTGGGACCTGACTATCTGTGATACATCATTCATTTCTTTCTCCTCCATGTTCCCTTCCTGAGAAAGAACAGCATTCTGAGAAGGCATAACTGAGAAAAACAGAAAAGGAACATCTTGTTAATACATGATATTAAGGCTAAATTTAAATCTTGGAGCTTTTGCTTTGTGTTAGTATGGCAGACAGTTTACAGAGAAGCTCTCTAAGACATAGGCTTAAAGGCTGTGACACCCCTATTCCTCTATTACATTGGGCAATTCAATGCAGGTCTTTCTCTTCTCTGTGGTACAACTCCACTTGTTGTGGCATAGGGGAGCTTGGTGGTTTTCAGCCCTGGCTAAATACTTGTGGAAGTTAAAAAATATGCCAATGTTGAGCCCCAACTCCCAGAGATTTGGATTTAATTAGTCTGGGATAAACCTGGGCAACAGCATTGTAAATTTTAAAGTCTCCAAGTGATTCTAAGTGTACATAAGAATTACTGACATGAGGTGACACAGAGAACATATATGTTGATGGCCTATTTTTACTCTTTATCCCCACAAGGGATAAATTCATTCCTAAACTTATATTCCAGAGATCTGCCTCTCCTCTCTTCAAGGTGATCCTTTGAAATACAAAGGACATCTCACTCTTCTCATTTTTTAAAAATGTTCACCTTCCCTTTTGAGTATCTGGATTCAATCCTCCACCAGGATTATACCTCTTTGAAGTTCTTATGTTATAATGTCACCAAAGCTTTGTTCTCTTCTAGTATGACAGGAGATGCACCTGTACTAGAAGCTTCAGTATCCTTGTCAGTCCTTAAAAGCTAATTTTCCAGTGCCTTATGGGGAACAGCCACTCCCAGGTATTAAAGGTGCCCCATCTCCGATGAGAGCCTCAGGAGCTGATGGATATTCACAAGAATGACTTCTGCTTTCCAGGGACAGCCACTCTCAGAATCTTGCCTTGTTCATGCAGAGTTGAGTTGTAGGGGCTCCTGAAGGTGGCTATTACTTTTTCTTTTCTAAAAGCATCAAGCCTTCACGTACAGACTTCACTATGGTATTCAAATCTGTGTCTTCGCAGGGATCTTGTAAGACACAATTTCAGGTTGAGCACCTGTAATGAGATGCACCAGAGTCAGCAGAAAAAATCCAGCAGTTTTGGTAACCTAGGAACCTATGGAGTCTGTAAAGAGATATACAAACTATTCATTCATAAAGATAGAGCACAGTAATGTGTGGCATTCTTTAATATAATCCAGAAGTGCTTTTAGAGTTTCTCAGACTCACACATTACAAAAAGCAGAGATGTATAAATGTATTGACTACAACAAATTTAGCCTCAGTCATTTCCCATTCTCTTCTCAGAATAGAAAATTTGTGGTCCTTGACTAAAGAAAGAGTGGCCGTTTTCCTTACAAAGAGGGGAAAACAGGCCTTTTAACAACAGAGTGAAAGGTACTGTTTTGCTAATAATCAAGATAGAATATATTCTTTTTCTATTCACAAAGGGTGACCCAAAAAATCTTTCTCAAAAAGCTAGTGATGGAAATGAAAAAAGTCATTTCCAAGAAGCAACTTTCAAAAAGAGAAAACTGCAGTTCTAGTGCAATGGCCCTGCTAGTTAAGGCAGCCATTTACTGCCTAAGACATGGCATGAATCTAACATTTCACAACCAGTTCACTAAGAGGCAGACCTTTTAGGAATAACTTAAAAGCACTTTAAGAACTAGGTTGGGGAATTAATTACCAAGCATAATCACTGAAAAAGTCCCACTGTCAGAAGAACCAGACAGAAGTTATGAGAATGCCCTAATGTTTCAAACCTAATCACCTCAAAGCTATATATCTCACAACAACAAAACTACATTTACCAAGTTAGACAGAACAGGGTTTCTCCTTCATATATATGAACTGAACTCCAGATGACCAGGACTCCAGAGATTACCTACTTGAAGTTTTCCTGAAGTGCGCCAAATTAGTATCTTATGTCTGTTACTTACAAAAAGAGACCAAATCAAGTTCAGAAAATGATGGCTTCGACAAAGTTAAAATAAGTTTCTTTCCTACAAATCTTAGAGATTTTCATATGGTAATATACATTGTGAATCCAAAGGATGGGAAGTATGCAGAATATATGACGTATTGTATGCAATGTTTCCCAAATATATTTAATTTAAAAAAATTTTTTTATGGCAACTGATGGGACTAGGTTCCATAGAACATACCTGTGGAAATGCTGTTTTAGTTCTCAGTTCTTTGGCTTAAGGAAGTATCCTGAAGTTAAAGACCACAGAGCTAAGTGAAAGAGTTGGTTCTGGAACCTAGGTCTCTTAATTCATAGTCCTGGGCTCCTTCTAGTATAGTTGTCCCTCAGTATCCACAGGAGATTGATTCCAAGACTCCTGAAGATACCAAAACCCATGGATGCTCAAATCCCTTATATAAAACACAATAGTATTTCCACATAACTGATGCATACCCTTATCATCTCCAGATTATTTAAGATACCTAATATAATGAAAATGTGATGTAAATAGTTGTTATGCCATATTGTTTAGGTAATTATGACAAGGGAAAGAAGTCTACACATGTTTAGTACAGATGAAACCATTCATTTTTCTCCCTAATATTTTCTATCTGTGGTTGGTTAAATCCACGAATGCAGAACCCATGGATACAGAGGGCTGGCTGACTGTATACTCTGAAGTCCTTCTTGGTACTTATTCTTTCCCTTTTTAAGCTTTTCATGTTGGAAGGACAAATTAATTTAGCTGTAATCTAATAAGGCTGCATTCAAGAAACTTCAATTAGATATACTTAAAAATGGACATTATTTTGTAAAAATCTAACTATTATATACTTAATAATTTCAAAAAATAAAAACTCCTAATTTTAAAGTTAACTAAACTTTTAATGACTTTGTTATATCTGTTTTTTGTTGGAAAGCATTTGGATATTTGGTTGTAGCGTGGAGTTCCAGTTTCAGTTGATCCTCTAGATGAATATCAGTCATTTGTGACCTTATGGGCATCTTGATTTTGGTTAGGTAGGAGATTGTAGATTTGTAGCAATAAGTGGTTGAAAAGCAAGAAAGCATTTTTCAGGCATGTTGCCAAAGGGTATTCTACTGCATTTTCCCATATTTCAATTGGACCTTTCTTAGCATCAAACAATGACTTTAAGATGTCATCTACTTAGAACTCAATCAATTCCATCTGTAGTTCTTTAGGTGCCTTGGTGTTATCAACTAGATGAGTCTGAAATGCTAATTTGAGTGTGATGTCATGATTCTCAAAGTCAGTGAAACTTTCATTGTATTCTTCAATTAATAGGTCTGTAACAGCTGCATATTCTTCAAATGACTTGCATATATCATCCTGCTCATCAATGGGCTTTGCTAACTGGGGAAAATATTCCTCTGAAATTTCCTTTTGAAGAAGTGTTTTGAAAAAAGATGTCTTTTTTCAAAATGCTTGGATTTTTTTTTTTTTTTTTGGCCATGGACTTAGCTTTTAAATTTATTTTTATAGACTTAGTTTTACCTTGTAAAGAAATATTCAAGTCATTTTAATTTGACATGATATCACATAGAACTGCTGCATTCCTATAGACATCTTCTTTTAATAATTCATACTGCTGATTCTGTTCTTCATAAAATTTAATTATATGTTCTTGCAGAGATAAAATTTGGGCTAACACCTGTCCCTGCAATAGCCAACTCACTTTAGAACAACATGGCAAATACACACTGAATACCTCATCATTCAACTTTAGCACGCTATGAAACTGATAATGCCATGTTGCATTTATAGGAATAGGTTAACAATACTTATAACTTTTTGCAAAGTGTCACTTAAAATAGTACCTTTAGCACAGAGATTTTGCTGATGCAAGATACAATGAAAAGAAATGAGAGCATCCGAACCTGTTAATACTTTTTTTTCTAATCTGTGCAATAAACCCTTCATGTTTTCCTGTCATGGAAGGTACACCATCTGTACATACACTCACTAAATTTACCAAATTCAGTTCAACTTCACAGCATTTATCTTGAAAGCTGTCAAAGATATCTAGTCCCAGTGTTCTGCTTGCAAGAGTGCCCAAAGTGAGGAACTCTTCGTAGCAAAGAAAATCTTCTGTTATGATCCGAATGAAGTATCAAACCTGTGCCAAGTCAGCAGTATCAGTAAATTCATCCAAAGTAACTGAGTAATATATATTTTCCTTTTAAAGTATTCCACAAAGTTGTTCTGTTAAGTTGAAGGCTAATTCATGCTGCTGATCAGTTAGTTGCTGTTCCTCTTGAAAGAGGCAGTTGTTTGTACTTTGAAATGTTATCAGGGTCTAAGCATCCTACAACTTTGACAATGTATTTTTTCACAATTTCTACAATGGCTTCCCTTTTTTCACCAAGTATATAATCTACTTTATAAGTTGTTTCAGTGGCATTACTTCCAGGTTTTATTGCTGCTTGAAAGAATTGTCTTTGGTTTTGCTTTTCATCTTTTAATTTCTGCAATATAACCTTTTGCACCTCTCCCTCTAATTTAAAATATTTGTGATTCTTATGAATATTATAATGCTGATGAGCATTGAATTTCTTTAATGTTGATACTGCAGTATCACAAAGCAAGCAAATCATCTTATCTTTAGCAGAAACAAGATAATATTGTAATTCCCAATCCTCATAAAAAATCTGTTTTCTTCTTTCAATGTTCTCTTGGTCTTCTTTGACACAATGGGCTGTTAAACAGACAGAATTAAAAAATAATGTTGAGCTGTGTAAGTATTCAAAACTTCCACTTCAAGCAGAAACACAGTGTACCACTGTAAAAAGTTGATTACAGATTGGCATACTCGATCCCCATAAATTCTCTCCAACCAGTGTTGTGTGATAGTGGTACCAGTTAGGCAGGGGAAGTTAGAGCTAAATCATGAGCATAGCAGCTGTCAATTTAGCTCTTATGACTTACTAATGTTTTAATTGTGCTGGTCAATCTGGAAGGATTATTTCGTTGAAACATTTTATTCTTTGGTAGTTTAAATATGTTCATTTAAAAAATAAATAAAAATATGAAAGGCCAACAAAAATGTATTAATAAAAGGATTTGTTTTGTAAAATTTGCATTCAGTCAAAAGGCTGCATTTAAGGGCCTAGAAGGCCACAGGTTCCCCACCCCTGGTGTAATTCCTCACACAATTCACATTTGAACGTTTCCAGAAAGGCCTGTGGGATTGCTACAGTCTCTTTCAGACAAGTAACCATGATGTCCTAAAGAGTAACAAATTCCATTGACTGTCTAAGGGATACAAGAATTACAATCAATTCACATCAAGAATGACTCTGGCCTTAACAGTTTTCTCTTTCACCTCAAACTCCTCCAAACATCTGGTGTTTGTTTATTTATTTATTTGAGACAGAGCCTCACTCTGTTGCCTGAGCTAGACTGCCGTGGAGTCAGCCTAGCTCACAGCAACCTGAAACTCCTAGGCTCAAGCCATTCTTCTGCTTCAGCCTCCAGAGTAGCTGGAACTACAGGCATGCACCACCATGCCCAGCTAATTTTTTCTACATATTTTTAATTGTCTAGCTAATTTCTTTCTATTTGTAGTAGAGGCGGGGTCTTGGTCTTGGTCTTGCTCAGGCTGGTTTCGAACTCCTAACGTTGAGCAATCCTCCTGCCTTGGCCTCCCAGAGTGCTAGGATTACAGGCATGAGCCACCACGCCTGTCCTATAGTTAATAATTTTTACGTATTAAAATTAGTCAATAATTTTTATGTATTAAAATTACTGAGTGTTTTTCCTCTCCTGATAGGACTCTGACTGATATAGCATCCCTGTCCAATGCAACAGGAAGAAGGGTGTCCAGCCACTAACCATCACATAATATGGTGTGGTGGTAAATCCAATCCTTGGTTTGTCTCTTCACTCTACTGACTGTTTCCTTTGCTATGCAAAAGCTTTTTAGGTTGATGCAACCCCATTTATCTATTTTTGCTTTTGTGGTCATATCCAAGAAAGCTTTGCCTAGACCAATGTCTTGGAGTATTTTTCCTGTTTCCTTCTACTAGTTTCAAGTGTCAAGTCTTCTGTTTAAGTATTTAATCCGTTTGGAGTTGATCAGCCACTGGTGATTAACTCAAATCTCCAGCCCCTCTCTCCTCCTCAGAAGTGGGGAGGAGGAGTTGGGGGGGTTGGGATTTAAAGTTCCAATCCTCTAATAACATGGTAGGTTTCCCTAGATCCCAGCCCCTACCCTGAAGCTATCTAGGGACTTCCAGCCACTAATCATCTCATGAACATAAATTCAGGTCTGGTTGAAAGTAACTTGTTATGTATAACAAAAGGCACTCCTATCATCCCTTCACCCAGGAAATTACAAGGGTTTTAGGAGCTCTGTGCCAGGAACTGCGCACAAAGACCAAATACATATTTCTTATTATATCTACCTATTTATTATAACTACCCTACTGGACATTGCCAGGTAGATGTCCCTCATATTTCTCAAGTCTAACATTAATCCTTTGTGTTATTCATGTTGCAAGTATTCAATTCTCTCACTTTTTAGCCCTTTGTCCTTCTCAAATACAGAAATTCTAAATTTTGCTATTGTAAAGAAAAATAAAAAATTCTCAGGACTCCCCCCCCCCCAACTCCTTATGCAAAACAGAAGGTCAAGCCTGGAGGCTGAATATTGCAACATCCCATTCCAAATGAATAGCTGTTAGTAATATTTTGAATCAGCCAGATCCTCATAGAAAGGGAAAAGGCCTCAGGCATCCACAAGGACTGCCCCCACAGATCAGTCCTAAAGAAACTCCTAGCCGGCTTCCCATAAGCAAGGACACGCAAATTGTAACTCTGGGTCCACAGGCTAAGTCTAGCTCCTAAAACTGTCTGTTAAGATTCCACACTACTAAGTTGGTTACAAGTTTATATTTCAGACTTTCCAGCGGTGGCGGCCTTCCCACGAGAACATGCCTGTCACAAAGGGTCTCCTTCATCCCTCTCCAGAAGAGAAGAGGAAACACAAGAAGAAGCGCCTGGCACAGAGCCCAAATTCCTACTTCACGGATGTGAAATGCCCAGGATGCTATAAAATCATCACTGTTTAGCCATGCACAAACAGTAGTTTTGTGTGTTGGTTGCTCTACTGTCCTCTGCCAGCCTACAGAAGGAAAAGCAAGGCTTACAGAAGGATGTTCCTTCAGAAGGAAGCAGCACTAAGTATCCTGCTTGAATGAATGGGAAACCATCCCAATAGACTAAACATATTTTGGATAAAAAAAAAAATTATATTCCAAGGTGCAGAAGAAAGATAAAACAAGATCAATCATTCCTCCACCTACCCAAGGACATTGATATAATTGATTCTTCCTTCACTCCCTTCTTCTCTGCAAACATTCATCTTATCTTATGTAAAATGTAGATTTCCTGAACCTCACAGGAATATAACCATTTTGCCTTGCTACCCACCCTCCTCCTCCTTTTTCCTTTCTGTGTCCTCCATCCCCTTTCAATACTGGAGTTCCCAAATCCACCTTTGGAAAAAGTCACAGATGGGTCTGTGGTTTGTGTTTTTCCCAGGCACAGCCTCAAACCTTGAGATCTTTGCCTCAGCCACTGATTTGGGGCTGTCAATATAATCAAACTAATGAATTTATTCCAGAGGGTTTTGTGTCCTATTTGAGTAGTCTGGTATGGCTGGAGGATAATAAAGTTCAAGGGTGTAAGGCAAAGGAAGATGCAATGTCAAGATCATAAAGTGCTTTGAGGATACCACTAAAGAACTAG